TATGCGGAAATGCTTCATCTTATTCTTGTTTAATTCATAGTATTGAGAATTTCTCAGATACGATTATTAAACGAATCAATCAACTTTGTTCTATATTTTTCTAGAAGGGTGATGATAAGTTTGCTAAAGGAGCCAGGGTTAGTTGGTCGTAGATTCGTACTCCTAAATTCGAGGGAGGGTTTGGACTCAAGGATCTAAAGACATGAAATCAAGTGTGTATAATAGGTTTGGTTAAGAAGTTATTGTTTAAAGATGATTCTATTTGGTTAGCTTGGGTTCACACTTGCATTATAAAGGACAGTTCAGTTTGGCATCTCTCTTGTCCCCAAAGTTGTAGTTGGACTTGGAGGAATTCGTTACAGCTTTAGCCTAAGGCTGCCCTAGCCCAGGGGCTACTGGGTTCATCCTGTTCCTCTCTTCAAGTCATTTAGAATGAGTTGAAGGTGAGATGGGATAAAGTGTCTTGTGATGAACTTGTGTTGCATTCAAGTCATATCCCCAAGGTTTCTTCTATTATTTGGATGATAATTTTGGACAGATTACCACTAAAAGCAGGCTCATTTTGTTTGGTATGTTTGTTAATGGATTGTGATTTTTCTTTGAAAGAGCAGCAAACGAGGGATTATTTGTTCTTCGAGTTTAATTTTTTCAAGGTCGTGTGAGAAGAAATCCTATAGATTTATCAGCTGAGTTGAGAGTTCCATTAGGCATGCTATCATTTAAAAGGAAAAGCTTTGTTGTTGGCTTTGTGAAGTTGGCTTGGAATTGTTATGGGACTGGTATCTGGGTCTGATCATGTAGAGTTATCAACTTCAGCACTAAAAAGTTCAATAGTAATCCCTTCCTTTTAACCCTTTGATAAAATCGACCTTGTAATAATGATTGAGAATATAGTTTATCAAAGTTGAATTGTTTTGATGTATAGCGTGTCGTTACGAGCGTAAATGAATAGAACGTTTGATGAACTGTTCGTATAATGTTAATTTATATTCGTTTATTAAGCTAAATGAGTATGAACAAAAATTTTATGTTCATTTAATCAATAAACGAATTCGAATATAAGTGTATTCGATTCGTTTATGTTTATAAACAAGTTTGTTTGAAAGCTCGTTTATTGATTTATTTATAAGTTTGTTTATTTATCTGTTTATAAGCTTGTTTATCCGGTTTTATTTTTTAAAATTTTAAATATTGATGAATATAGGGATTAATTTGAACATATGGTGAATTTCAGAGTTCAAAATATTAACCCTGTTAAATTAAGGACTAGTGATGTAATTTCACTATTTTGATGAATATGTTTGTGAACGTTAAACGTATGTAGTGGCAAACGCTAAACAAATATGTTCATGAACGTTCAATGAAAATATTCACAAATGTTAAATGAATATGTTTGAAAACACTAAACTTTCGAACACGAATTCCTTTAAAAATAAACAATCGAACATGAGCATGATATTAAATGTTTAAATGAATAGAAATCAAACATGAACGCCTTTAAAAATAAACAAACGAACACAAACTCAATCTTATTTGTTAAAGCTCTGTTCATTTACACTCTTACGTGCTTTTAAAATATCTTGATTTACACAAATACATATATAACTAGGGATGGACATAGGTAAGGATGGGTCGTGTTTTTGGTCCACTCGACCTGAGAACAAGGAGTCCTCCACCCGACCCGACCCGACCAATACAAGTTTTCACCCGACCTAATATATAACTTAAAAACCCGACCCAATCCGACCCGAAATAATTAAAAAAATTATTATTTTTCAATAAAAACAATGATTTAATTGAAAAAATCATATATAGAGGGGTATTATTGTAATTGATCCTAAATATTTAAGATAAAATTATATATTTTTTTCGGTTCGGGTATTTTTCACCCTAAACCCGAACCCAAATTTTTTTTAAAAAAATCCGATCCGATCGGGTCAAGTTGAAACCCGTAAGGTTCGGATCCTATACCCATCCCTATATATAACTTGGCGTTCTACACCTTCCTGTTTGAATAATATACGATTTTGGTGTTCGTTCCTCCACTCATGTATGTTTATATTTATCTTTCATTGCATAGATTTTGATAAAGGTCACTCAAACAGAACGAATTTCTAATTTTCTATCAAAAGGAAGTGAGACAAAATACAAGTTAACGTCACTTGATACAGAAAAACGCCAGTCAACAAATAGGTTAATATTTAATTTTACCCTAAACTACTCTAATTCATCAAATAGGTTCTTAAAAAATAATTTTATATCTAATTTACTCCCAAAAATTTCTAATTTCTAATTTTTTTAAACACCCCACCACCTCCGCCATATGCGACTGAGTTCCTTACAAAAAATAAAACCACACTTAAACAAACCCTCAGCATATCTTCCCTAGACCAGTGCTTGGCTGCTGGAGTTCTCCAACTCCATACGAACATCTGGATGACCAAGGTTACTTGATCCTTTGCGCTCCATAACTTGACCTGAATAAGAAGCATTCTTGATTCCTGTAATCCAAAAAACAAGGTCAGATGTGTTTCATAAAAGACAAATTCCAAGATGAGTTAAGAAATGGATTCCACAAGAAGTCATTAAGGTGGCGTTTGGTTAACTAGAATATTTTTGAGGGAATTGGAATCTGTTAAGGAATTAGAATCTGTCAGGAATTAGAATCTAATTTCATATTCTATTTGGTTGGCAGGAATTGAATTGGGATCAAATTTCATATTCTGTTTGATTCGCAGACATGTCAGATGAATTTGATTTCAGTAATGTAAAATGACAGGATTGCCCTTCTTGTTTTTTTGCTTAATTTTAGTTTGTTTTATAAATTACATGTAGCAATATATTATAAAAATTTTAAAAGAAATTAAATTTAAATTTTATTGATTGATTATTCATTTCAATAAATTATAAAAATCATGTTAATAAATATCATAAGTTAAAATCATCCCAATTAAGGATGGTCATGGGTCGGGTTTTTGGTCCACCCGACCCGATCCGAGAACAAGGGAACCTCCATCCAAGACCCGACTCGACCAAAATAAAGTTTCACCCGACCTGACCCGAATATATGAATTAGAAATCGACCCGACCCGAAATAATAAAAAAATTATTTTTATTCAATAAAAATAATGACTTAATTGAAAAAAATTATATATAGAGGGATATTATTGTAATTATTCCTAAATATATAAGGTAAAACTATATATTTTTTGGGTTGGGTCGGGTATTTTTCACCCTAAACCCGACCCGAATATCACACTTAAAAAAAACCAACCCGACCAGATCAAAATAAAGTTTCACCTGACCCGACCCGAATATATGAATTAGAAATCCGACCCGACCCGAAATAATAAAAAAATTTATTTTTATTCAATAAAAATAATGACTTAATTGAAAAAAATTATATATATAGGGGTATTATTGTAATTATTCCTAAATATATAAGGTAAAACTATATATATTTTCGGGTCGGGTATTTTTCACCCTAAACCCGAACTCGACCCGACCCGAATATCACACTTAAAAAAACCGACCAGACTCGACCAAAATAAAGTTTCACCCCACCCGACCCAAATATATGAATTAGAAACCCGACCCGAAATAATAAAAAAATATTTTTATTCAATATATGAATAAGTTACCAAAAGATTGATGAGGGTAATATGATCAAATTTCAATTCCCTCCAACAAGAGAATTGAATTCCCTCCAACAAGAGAATTGAATTCAATCATAGAATGGATGAAATTCACTTTCCCTCATTTGATTTGATGGAAAGTTGAAGCCACGAGGGATTCCAATTCTCTTGAAAAACTTGAACCAAACATGAAAAAATAGTGGAATTAGATTCCAATTCCCCCTAATTCAAGGAATTCATGCGAACCAAACGCCAGCTACTAAGGATGGAAAGTAGAACAGAAATGTACATGCTCGACAACCGAAAATATTGTTGAAAACTTGTGAGATTATTCTTGGGGCACTTACCTTTAAGCTTATCTGTAGTCATTGCTTGGCTGTTTCTTGTGCCGGAAAAAGGCTGTAAATCCTGGAATCAGGTGAATCAACGTCCGATAAGCTTTTCTTTATTACTCACTCGGTAAACATACGTCCAATAATCGAACCCGGTCTATAAAAACCTCTATGTGAGACACTTTAGATCATTGAATTAACTTTAATTAAGTTAATGTCACGGATTAATAAAATATTAATTTAATTTAAAAAATTGAAATAACAGTAAATAATACTAGCATAAGTGTAACAAAAAAAATGATCATTTTTGTAATTTTAGATGATTTTTAAAAAAAACAATAAAATATTATTTAAAGATTAAATATATGACTAATAAATTTATATGCATTTTTTTTCATTTGGATTATAATTTTTTATAAATTATATATCTTGAATTTATATTCACTCACATAATTTATACAATTTATTATATACTATTTAATGCCGGAGCAGATGCACTATGTCCATAAGGACTAAGTGCATCCCTATCATTTTGGATAATTTATTAAATTTAATTTAATGGGTTAAAAATAATATTTTTATTTTATTAGAAAAAGGAAAATAAAATTTTAGATATATTTTTAAATTTCTAAATCTGTTTCACACTCATTGATGTGCTATACCTTCCGCTCAATCAACCAACAACTCCCACAAATTTCGTGTCTATTTAACAAAGAGAAAGGAAGGTAAATCAAGTTAGATACGAAATTAGATGATAGGATGGGTCTCATATAATCATTCAAACACGAAACTAAATAACCAATACTATTTAATAACAAAATCAGATACGAAATTAATTTCAATTATAATTTAATTTAAGTTAATATTTTTGTCAACATCGATATAACTTGCTGGTTTACCCTCTTTGAATTCAAGCCAAAAATTTCTAACCTTATTGTAATTGTTAAATAAAAGAAACAACTACTACTACCCTTGTTGTAATTGATTTTCTATTTATATAGTGTAGGTACACTAACCATATGGTACACAGAAACAAAGCTTAGCATGGAGCTTGAAGTCGAAGTGGTCTCCGAGGAGATTGTGAAGCCATCATCTCCGACGGACGACGGACTTCGCTGCTACCAACTATCGTTCCTCGATCAGTTATATCCCTCACTCTATCACTCTCAGATTTATTTTTTTCCGAGAATATGTGACACTAATGTCGATGAAATCACGATTTCCGATCGATTAAAGCAATCCATTTCCAATGCCCTGACTTATTTCTATCCGCTGGGTGGTCGGATGACGGAGGACCAATTGTTTGTGGATTGCAACGATGAGGGGGTACCCTTTGTGGAAGCTAGAGTGAACTGCAAACTTTCCGATGTTTTAAACAATCCTGTTCCGAAGGAGCTCAACAAGTTGCTTCCTTTCGAAATCCATGGCGACCATAAAATTCTCCTCGGAGTCAAACTCAACGTTTTCGACTGCGGCGGGATAGGGATCGGTGTGTGTGTTTCCCACAAAATCGGAGACGCACTTTCGTTTTTCTCGTTTGTGAAAATATGGGCAGCCATTGCTCGTGGGGAGACGAAGTTGATCGGCCCGGAATTCAAATCAGCCTCGCTTTTCCCACCACGGGACCTTTCGGGATTCACGCCAATAATCAGTCAATTGAAGATCGAACAACTTATAACGAAGAGATTCGTGTTTGGTGCCACCAAAGTGGAAGAAATCAGAAGAAAATATTCCGAGAAAAGTACCCAAACACGCCCGACTCGTGTCGAGGCCTTATCGGCTTTCATCTGGGACCGGTTGATTTCTGCCATTAACGTAAGATCGAAACCCAACACGCTGTTCATAATTAATCACATGGTGAACATACGTCCAAGAATCGAACCCCCAGTGCCGGAATATTCAATTGGAAACTTCTTTAGCTTTGCACCAACAATCCCATCAATGGAGGACAGTAACCTCGTTTCCCAAATGAGAGACTCCATAAGAGCAGTGAACAATGAGTACGTGAAGAAGCTCCAAGATGGATATAATCACTTGGACAGCTTTAAAGAGAAGACATCAAGTTATGGCAAAGGCGAGATCGTTCCGTTTACTTTCACAAGTTTATGCAGGTTTCCTCTATACGACGCTGATTTCGGTTGGGGGAAACCCGTTTGGGCTGCTTTCGGAGATCGAGAAATCAAGAACACGGCAGTTTTCTTGGACACCATAACTGGTGATGGAATAGAGGCTTGGGTTACCCTAAACGAGGAAGAGATGGCGAAACTTGATTCCGATGAGGAATTGCTTGCATATGCTGATTCTCCAAAAAGCTTTTAAAGATTATCTACTTCTTGTATGTGTTTGTTGTCAGCTTTAAATATTGTGTGCACTGTTCTCTGTGTGTTGTTGAAGCATTGGGATTTTAAGAGTAATCCATATTCATATTACTATTGCCATTAATACAAATAAATGTTCTGTAATTACAAACTGGTAATTAAGCCAAAAATGTACATGTCATAAATTATAAACAAATCAAAACATTAGTCGATATTAAGATTTGGACATGACCCTAGCTGAAGATATTTTGATACAAATTACATAAAAGAATATAAAGAAAATATTATATAATATAGCACTTAATTCTATTACATCAAGCCTAATCAAAACTGTATATGATTTAAACCTAATATTCTTATACAACGTTTAAATTATCAATAATCATTAGTTAAAAATCTAAATGTAATTTAATTAAAATACAATATTTATAAAACATTAGTTTTTATAATCTTATTTTAATTAGATCAAATATTAATTTGAAAATTTTATAAACCCTAATTTATTTTTCATATCTTTGAAGCTTCCGTCGTCGCCTATATCATCTTTCGTAGTCGATTTAGTCTTTGTATTTTACCGGTGGTGAAAGATGATACCCACAAACGGTGACGACGACAATGAAAGCGGGAGCTTCAAAGTTATGAGAAATAAATTAGAATTTATAAATTAATTTAACGGTACTCATTATTAACAATGATCGTCCGTGCTCGTCGAACGTTACAGTATCGTACTATAACTAATATAATTATAATATTAAACAGCGAAAACCAAATCCACGTAGCGGAGATCCCAACCTCACAAAAAATTCCAAGATACGTAGCTTCTTCCACCAATCACAACACACCGCATCGTATCGTCCGTGCTCGTTGAATGTTATTGTCAATATTGTAAGTTAGATTAAAATGGTTGCTCTCATAATAAATATTTATAATATTTTATTTAAATTAGTCGATTAATATATTAAATAATAATAATTATACCAAAAATTGTAGACATTAAAAAAATCATTAATAATTTAGCCTTTAAATTAGCAAGTCAATTTAGAATTTTATTTATTTATTGCAGAATTTATAGGTTTAAATATATATATATTTGCTATTTTAAATAAGTACGTTCTCTTAAGTTAACTTCTGAAAAAAATTTGTTCCAAAATCGATACTCGAATTTTGATTTTATTCAGTATTTTATTATTTTATTAATAAGGTTAGCTTACATATAACGTGATACTCATTGATTGTAAAAAAGTGTTAGGTATCAAAATAAAATAATGGATATTGTTGGGAGGTTAAAAGGAGTAATAATCCATAAATAATAAAATTCGCGAATATGTGCACTACACCCGACACGTGTCTGTATACCTGATCATTCGATTCTTCGTACTAGAACTCATTTGGTCTGCTAAACAGGTGCCAAATTTCACCGGTTTCGCCGTTCTCCCATTTCCCTATCCTCCAAAAATAATAGAAATTAAAAGGAAAATAAATTCACTTCCTTTTCTCCTCCTCAGCTCTGTCTTCTTTCTCGCGTTTTCTCGCCTTCGACAGAAAATAATCCTCTTCTCGTTGCTTGTTTGATCGAGTTTCCCAGTTTCTAAATTTGGCTCGAAATTCGAGGAGTGTTTTTGAAGAAGCGGAAGTTTTTGGTATAATCTCTGTCGATTGCGTTTGGCGGGACTGAAGAATCTATTTTTGTTTGCTAATCTTAATCTTAATTCGGTATTTGATTATCGCTCATTCCAGGTCTTCTTCTTTGATCTATCTTTTTTATTTTTATTATTATTTAGTTTCTTTGACCTATTTGATTCGTCGTAAACCCTGATTTAGGTTAGGTACGTTTTCAGGGATTGAAAGCTTAAGAAATATATAAAAAGGAAAAAATGATTTGATTATTTTTTTGTGTATGCAGAAGTTCGGTTAAGCGACCGTTTTCGTTTTCCAATTTTTGAGTCGTTGTTGATGTTTAGGTATTTCAACACAAGGAAAACTCTGAAATTTGTGGTGCGTTGTTTTAGTTTGCCATCCAAAATCAAGGGGTTTTTCTTGTTTGGGTTATTGGGTAGATCCTGCATATAATTCTCTTCCCCCCTTTTCATCTTTTGTTTTTAATTTTTCCGTCTTTTAGCTATTCCCATAACCCTCCAAAACAAATGTAAAAAGAAGAGAATTTTAGTGTTTCCATTAAGAAAATATCTATACTGTTTTCGGTTAAAATTATTATATAGCATTTATTGAGGAAAGGAGAGCAAGGAATTGGCTGTATATACGACTTAGAACAATGACGTTGAATTTTTCCCATCGGCCTATCTTTCCTGCGCGTTTGACTGAAGATCGGGTTTCTTTTGGAATGGCGAATGGTTACCTTGCGGAAGGTATCCAACAGAAGAATGGAGAAGGGTGTAAGGAATCCTGGCATTCGAATCATGATTGCTTTGATTATGGAAGGGATAAAAGTAGTGCTCGATTTGGTTCTCATGAGCCTGTTTCCAATGATATTATTGATCTTTTGCCATCGGATCCATTTGGAATGGATATCAACATTACTGTCACTGCAATTACTGGTTGGCTTGAGGATTTGGAAATTGACTACAGTGGCTATGTGAGAGATGATTTGGGGACTGGTGATGGTAGTTCTCAGTTGTTTGCTGGATTGAACTTTATTTGGAACAACAACATGTGGCTTCAAACATTACCTGGGGAACGTAAAGGTAGTGTTTCTAGTGGATTTGGTGAGTATTCTCAGTCAAAGGAGCGAGAGAATGTGTTTGCTCATGTTGGCTTTGGATCAGCTTGTAATGCAAGGGACAATTTGTGTTTTAGGAATGAATATGTGGTTTCTGTTGATCAGGAAAATGATGATTTTCAGGATTGTGAGGTTTGTTCTGAGGAACAGGAGGGAGGTCCTCATGAAGCTCTGATTTTGGCCCTTGGTTATCTGGATGTGCGGGATCTATTTGCTGTTGAAAGTGTTTGTATGTCACTGCGCTATGCGGTTCAGAATGATCCCCTTTTATGGAGGAATATTCACATTGAACAACCACTAAGCGAGAAGATTACTGATGATGTTCTTTTACAAATAACTTGTAGGGCTCAAGGTAGCTTGCAATGCCTGAGCCTGGTAGATTGCCAAAGGATTACTGATGAGGGCCTTAAACGGGTGGTTGAAGAAAATCCAAAGCTATTGAAGGTTAGTTTGTTTGCTTTGGAAATTTGATTCTCGTGTTAGTTTCTGAATCTTTAATTGTACGAGTACCGAGTTGTAGGTGTATTTGCTCATGACCTTATCTGTCTGCATGAGTTAACCTTATTATGTATAGAAGAATCATATAATAATAAACTGGAATATGACTGAAGATGCTTTCATGGTGTAATGTGACTAATATTTTTATATTTTGAAAGAATGATATCGCTATCTGATCTCTGATTTTGTTAATTCTTGATAGAACCAATTGTTTGCTGGAGGTTGCTTTAAGAAATAGTTATTTAAGCCTAAATCCTAACAATCTTTAGACACGTTCACCTGAAGATAAATGTGTATTCCCTCATGAATTTTGGATATATCTATCAAGAAATAGCTTCTACCCTAATAGAGGCATTTAAGAAATGAGGATTGCTATAGGTTTGTTTGCTTATGCTTTTCTGCGTGATCAACCTGTAAGTGTATGTCCAGTGCATTTATGGAACTAATCAAAGTTACTGTCAACTTTCTTAAATTATTGTTTAACTTCTATTTAGCTAACATGCTTTGTTGCCTACTATAAATTAACATCCGGTATTGCATTTGAATGCAATGACATACATAGTTCTTTTTTTGTTTATATATGCGTGTGTGTGTTGAGGACTTTGTTCTGGTGCATGGAAAACCCAAGGCTTGGGAGAACCAAACCTATATCACCCTAACGGCCAGTGTTGTTTTGGGTTGGTTTTCCAAGCATTTTTCAAACTTAAATTGGCAATTTCATAATATTGTCCATTACTTTTTAGTGTAGGTCTTAAAATTTTCTTTAATATGATTATGAAATATTTTAATTTTGATTTATTTATCTTTTTTGCATCTTCATATTTGGAAATACTAGATTTTTGTTTCCTTTTTTTGTTATAAGCTACTAAATATGTGTCCTTGTAGCTGAGTGTCCCTGGATGTACAAGACTAAGTGTTGAGGGCATTTTGAATAGCCTAAAGGCTTTGAGGTCTGCGGGCAGACAAGGGGTGAAGCATTTGAGGATTGCTGGGGTATATGGTGTAACAATGAAGCATTTTGAAGAGCTGAAGATGTTGCTGGGCATGGACAACCAGATTCAGCAGATAGTGCACAAGCCACTTTTTTATAACAGAAGAAATGTATATCTCTCTTGTGAAGATGATCGTGCCATTGATATTGAAATGTGCCCAAGATGCAACAATGTGAGGCTTGTTTATGATTGTCCTGTGGAGGGTTGTCAGCAGAAAGGCCACAGTGGTCAGTTATGCAGGGCATGCACTCTTTGCATAGCACGGTGTGTCGAGTGTGGTCAATGCATTAATGATGGCGAATACGAGGAAACATTTAGTCTGGAGTTGCTTTGTTCAGATTGTTGGAGGCTACAAATAAAACCTTGATGTCTCATTTGCAAAATCTCGTGTTGCATGTATTTCCAAGATAATATCGTGTTTACTTGTGGATGGTCAATGCTGAAGTTGGTGGGAAAGTTCCAGAGTTTTCCAACTTGAACATAGATTCGACAACGAAGCACTTATCAAGTTGACACAGTAGATTGAGGAAATATTTCTGGTCTCTGATGCAAGTTGGATTTGATCGTGATCGGTTTTCTTGCTGTATGGCGCTTTGCACGGCAGGCCCTGGTTTTTCTGCAAGCAGCGGTATACATATCCGATCTCTTGAATCTCAACTTGGTTCCATAATAATTGGAATGTTTTCTTTGAACTTCCATGATTAGGATTGGAATTAGCAACGATTCAACTTTTGCTATTCGGTACTTGATTCGTAGTTGCTCTTCCATTGGATCGTGTAGACATCCGTGAATATGCACTGCTGCTGTGCCTTTAAAATATGTTGTTGAATGGATTTTTTGAAATAAAGCCTTTACTTCGTCATCTAAGCATAAATATAGTTTTTGGTATCAAATTTTAGTATTTCTGTATATTTAGACATCCAACTTTTTCTTTGATGCAATTTGGTACCTGGGATTTTGTTTATTATTGCACGTGCTCAATTTTAATTTGTTCATACTTACAATCAAAACATAATTTAGTTAAAGAAACAATATACATTATAGATTCAAAAGTTTGCGTATAATTTAAAGAATGTTAGATATCTAATTGTATCATTAAAAAGTTAAACATCATATTACATGTAAATACTAAAATTAAATTTAAATAAAACGACATCTTACCTAAAATCTCAAAGTTTTAAAGATTAAAGATGGTGAATATGTACTTATTTGTCTGGGGTTGTGATGTATTTAGATGTTGCTTTTCTAAAAGTATTGGTTCAAGTCAACTAAAACAAAACACATGTTAACAACTTAGCGTTCTCTCATACTTCGATTTGGAACAATATCTCTTCTATATTAACATAACAAATCTCAAAATAATCTAAATCGACATATTCATAGATTCTATTAGTGATTATCTGTCAATTCATCGATACCATACGATAAGAAGAATATTAAATATAGAGAAAATCGCCTCAGTGACAAAAAAAAAGTTATAATATACGATTTTAACCAACTTTTTTTGGATTTGCCAAAATGACCAACAAAATCGCAACGCGAAATAAAAATCGCAACGCGATCCCCAGAATCGCAAATCAGTTTCCAAAATCGCAACGCGATTCTTGAAAATCACAATGCGATAGTACAAATTCGCATTGCGATTTTCCAAAATCGCAACGCGAATATGAAAATCGCAACGCGAACACATAAATTGCAACGCGTATCCGTAAATCGCAACGTGTATCCGTAAATCGCAACGCGTATGGGTAAATCGCAATGCGTATCCGTATATCGCAACGCGTATCCGTAAATCGCAACGATAATACATAAAATCGCAACGTGTATCCGTAAATCGCAACGCGATATTTAAAGCGCCATTATAATCGCTACGCGTATTTTATTTTCAAATTACAAAAAGAATATTAAGACAAAATCCCGTAATCGCAACTCATAACCTAAAACCTAAAATCACAACTCAGTCCCATCTCCATCTCTCACTCTCTACGGCGAAGAAATCCGTCCCCATCTCCGAAGATTTCTGTCCCCATCTCCGGCGAAATCCCTCACAACCATTCACGGTCAGTAATCCCTCACAATATTCAGAAATGGAAAATCAACCTCCGAGGGTTAGTTTTTTTAATTATTTTTATTTTGAAATGTTTGCATTATTGTAGGTTTTCATATTGAAACTGATGATAAGTTTACTGGTCATTTCAATAATAGATTAACCATTTCACTTAGATTTCATTTCGCGTTACGATTCTGTCGTTGCGATTTTCATTTCGCGTTGCTATTCTCTTGTTCCGATTTTCAAGTTAGTATTTGTCTTTGTCTTTGTTCTGTCTTTTGGTTGAAGTAATGCAATCCATTCAAGTTTCAATTTGCAGAAGAGTCGCAACGAGATAAATGAAAATCACAACGAGAGAATGACTGTCGCAACGAGAGAAATGAAAATCGCAACGAGAGAATCGCAACGCGAAATGAAAATCGCAACGAGAGAATCGCAACGCGAAACCAAAATCGCATTGCGATTTTCATTTCGCGTTGCGATTCTCTCGTTGCGATTTTCATTTCGCGTTGCGATTCTCTCGTTGCGATTGTCATCTCGCGTTGCGATTCTCTCGTTGCGATTTTTATTTCAACCAAAAGACAAAACAGTGTTGCAAATTTTAGTTTCAAGAATAAACTACTACTTTTTATGTTTATTGTTTTTGGTATATCTTCACAGTGTAGTTTTTGGTATATCTAACTTGGTATGTTTATTGTTTTTGTAGAAATTTTTTTCGGCTCAATTGACCTTGAGAAATAAAGTCAGCCTGGCCACTACAATTGCAAAGAAGCTTTCACCTGCTCAAAGACAATTGTTTGAGGAAACCTGCTTCGGGCCATGGCTGAGAGTACAGCATCCGGGTGGAGATGCTAATTTGACCCATTTGTGGCTTCAGACCATGACATCAAATCTACCCGACAGTATACAACGTGGTGAGGAAGAGATATGGTTTTATTTTCCACCAGCGTATACTTGTTTTGGGCGGAAGGAGTTCTGCTTAATCACTGGTCTACGATTCGGACACGATGATGTAGGCCGGTACACTCGTCATATCGCCCGCCCATCATGGTTATCCCGGGTTTTTCCGGATGAGTCAATGGAGAAGCCGAACCTACATGTCGACGACCTGAAGAAATTGTTTAATAAGAAAGCTGGTTTCACTCGGATGGATGACGTCGATGTTGTCCGAGTATGCCTTCTACTACTTGTGTATGCCGGCTTTTTAGGCAGAGAGGCCAGACAACCTATTCATCGGGAGCTAATAATATTGGTAGAGGACCTGAATGCATGGAATCTGTTTCCGTGGGGTTCGTATATATGGAAAGCTACCTGGACTAAGTTGTCGTCTGCCTTTGATGACCGCAAAAGTTTGCGGGGCGATGGGTCCAAATACACTTTGTCAGGCTTTGTTTGGGCCTTTAAGGTAAGAATTTCTATATAATGTTTCTAAAATTATAATTAATTATTTAACAATTACTAATTTTGTTATTATATTGTTTGTAGATTTGGATATTCGAGGCTTTCCCCAGCATGCGTACATATGCAATAAAAACGTCAAATGATATTCCCAGGGCTATTTCCTGGAAGATGAAAACTCTGTTGGATTGGGAAGACTTAATACCATATGCCACAATAAATAATGTAAGTTAACACAAATACTTTCATATAATATATAAACAAGTTATTAATAGTAGACGTTTAACTTTGTTTGAGTTTTTATATTTTAGGAGGCTAACATTCCATTACAAAGACTGACACCCACGGAGGAAGAGCTTGCCACTGATTGGTGGCAAGCTAGTCAGAATTTTTTTGATGGCACGGATGATGAGCAGCATCCACTTCCTCCAATTCGAGAGCCATCACCTCACCTAGAGCCATCACCCGATCGACCCGACTATACACCTCTAGAACGAGAGCCATCACCTATCCCGTCACATCATCGAGCCTCTTCTCCACCATCACCTCATGATAGGCGACCGGCAAAGATGCCACGACTCCTATCTCCCTGTTCTCCACCTCCACCTCAACGGGATGAGTCAAGGGAGTTACGTGATGAGGTCAATGCCTTGCGTGAGGAGATCGGTACTCTACGCGATAACGATGGTGCATGGCGTGTGGAGGTGTCAACTTTACGTGGTGAGGTTGCCGCTCTACGTGAGATGATAGTATCGTTGCAGAATGAGGTTCATACTCTACGCAACGAGGTAAGTTTAAGATTTTCCATATTTAACTTAATGATAAATTTACTCGTAATTTCACTTAGATTAGCCATTTCACTTAGATTGCTTAGTAAATTTATTCGGTTGCTGCCAATTCTGCTAAACTGTGTATTCTTTAACACTGTGAAATAGTATTTGTCTTTGTTTTGTCTTTTGGTTGAAAGTAAATTTGTTCGGTTGCTGCCAATTCTGCTAAACTGTGTATTCTTTAACACTGTGAAATAGTATTTGTCTTTGTTTTGTCTTTTGGTTGAAAGTAAATTTGTTCGGTTGCTGCCAATTCTGCTAAACTGTGTATTCTATAACACTGTGAAATAGTATTTGTCTTTGTTTTGTCTTTTGGTTGAAAGTAAATTTGTTCGGTTGCTGCCAATTCTGCTAAACTGTGTATTCTTTAACACTGTGAAATAGTATTTGTCTTTGTTTTGTCTTTTGGTTGAAAGTAAATTTGTTCGGTTGCTGCCAATTCTGCTAAACTGTGTATTCTATAACACTGTGAAATAGTATTTGTCTTTGTTTTGTCTTTTGGTTGAAAGTAAATTTGTTCGGTTGCTGCCAATTCTGCTAAACTGTGTATTCTTTAACACTGTGAAATAGTATTTGTCTTTGTTTTGTCTTTTGGTTGAAAGTAAATTTGTTCGGTTGCTGCCAATTCTGCTAAACTGTGTATTCTATAACACTGTGAAATAGTATTTGTCTTTGTTTTGTCTTTTGGTTGAAAGTAAATTTGTTCGGTTGCTGCCAATTCTGCTAAACTGTGTATTCTTTAACACTGTGAAATAGTATTTGTCTTTGTTTTGTCTTTTGGTTGAAAGTAAATTTGTTCGGTTGCTGCCAATTCTGCTAAACTGTGTATTCTATAACACTGTGAAATAGTATTTGTCTTTGTTTTGTCTTTTGGTTGAAAGTAAATTTGTTCGGTTGCTGCCAATTCTGCTAAACTGTGTATTCTTTAACACTGTGAAATAGTATTTGTCTTTGTTTTGTCTTTTGGTTGAAAGTAAATGTATCCATTCAAGTTTCAATTTGCAGAAGAAGAAATAGTTTACTTTCGCAACACGAAACTTAAAATCGCAACGCGAAACCAAAATCGCAACGCGAAATGAAAATCGCAACGACAGAATCGCAACGCGAAACCAAAATCGCAACGACAAGATCGCAACGCGAAACCAAAATCGCATTGCGATTTTCATTTCGCGTTGCGATTCTTTCGTTGCGATTTTCATTTCGCATTGCGATTCTGTCGTTGCGATTTTCATTTCGCGTTGCGATTTTGGTTTCGCGTTGCGATTTTGGTTTCGCGTTGCGATTTTAAGTTTCGTGTTGCGAAAGT